TGATGGATACATTCTATACTAGGCTTTTACACACATACAGCATTACACACACACTCACACACTCACTCACTCACTCACTCAGTCACTCACTCAGCCACTCACTCAGTCACTCACCGCTGGGCATGAGTTCGATGACCAGCTTGGGGAAGGCGATGTTGGAGCAGCCAACCTCGGCTCCACAGACCCTCAGACACTCCTCAGGGTCCACACACCCCACCGAGTCTGGAACACACAGTTATTACCCTGGTTTTAATGCCTAGGATTATTACACACAGTTATTACCCTGGTTTTAATGCCTAGGATTATTACACACAGTTATTACCCTGGTTTTAATGCCTAGGATTATTACACACAATTATTACCCTGGTTTTAATGTCTAGGATTATTACACACAGTTATTACCCTGGTTTTAATGTCTATGATTATTACACACAGTTATTACCCTGGTTTTAATGCCTAGGATTATTACACACAATTATTACCCTGGTTTTAATGCCTAGGATTATTACACACAGTTATTACCCTGGTTTTAATGCCTAGGATTATTACACACAATTATTACCCTGGTTTTAATGTCTAGGATTATTACACACAGTTATTACCCTGGTTTTAATGTCTAGGATTATTACACACAATTATTACCCTGGTTTTAATGTCTAGGATTATTACACACAGTTATTACCCTGGTTTTAATGTCCAGGATTATTACACACAGTTATTACCCTGGTTTTAATGCCTAGGATTATTACACACAGTTATTACCCTGGTTTTAATGTCTATGATTATTACACACAGTTATTACCCTGGTTTTAATGTCTATGATTATTACACACAGTTATTACCCTGGTTTTAATGTCTAGGATTATTACACACAATTATTACCCTGGTTTTAATGCCTAGGATTATTACACACAATTATTACCCTGGTTTTAATGTCTAGGATTATTACACACAGTTATTACCCTGGTTTTAATGTCTATGATTATTACACACAGTTATTACCCTGGTTTTAATGCCTAGGATTATTACACACAGTTATTACCCTGGTTTTAATGTCTATGATTATTACACACAATTATTACCCTGGATTTAATTATTACACATGCACACACACACAATCAATTGCATATTATAGTGAAAACAGCAGTGTGTTCATCCATTTATCTGTGATTTAATCAGGATCAATCAACTCTGTCAATATGAGGCCTACAGAGAAACGTCATCACACTGTTACCTAGTGTTCTACTGTTATACTGTTATTCAGAATATTACAGACAGAGTGGCTGTTGTTATCTAATGTGTTATTCAGAATATTACAGACAGAGTGGCTGTTGTTATCTAATGTGTTATTCAGAATATTACAGACAGAGTGGCTGTTGTTATCTAATGTGTTATTCAGAATATTACAGACAGAGTGGCTGTTGTTATCTAATGTGTTATTCAGAATATTACAGACAGAGTGGCTGTTGTTATCTAATGTGTTATTCAGAATATTACAGACAGAGTGGCTGTTGTTATCTAATGTGTTATTCAGAATATTACAGACAGAGTGGCTGTTGTTATCTAATGTGTTATTCAGAATATTACAGACAGAGTGGCTGTTGTTATCTAATGTGTTATTCAGAATATTACAGACAGAGTGGCTGTTGTTATCTAATGTGTTATTCAGAATATTACAGACAGAGTGGCTGTTGTTATCTAATGTGTTATTCAGAATATTACAGACAGAGTGGCTGTTGTTATCTAATGTGTTATTCAGAATATTACAGACAGAGTGGCTGTTGTTATCTAATGTGTTATTCCGAATATTACAGACAGAGTGGCTGTTGTTATCTAATGTGTTATTCCGAATATTACAGACAGAGTGGCTGTTGTTATCTAATGTGTTATTCAGAATATTACAGACAGAGTGGCTGTTGTTATCTAATGTGTTATTCAGAATATTACAGACAGAGTTGCTGTTGTTATCTAATGTGTTATTCAGAATATTACAGACAGAGTGGCTGTTGTTATCTAATGTGTTATTCAGAATATTACAGACAGAGTGGCTGTTGTTATCTAATGTGTTATTCAGAATATTACAGACAGAGTGGCTGTTGTTATCTAATGTGTTATTCCGAATATTACAGACAGAGTGGCTGTTGTTATCTAATGTGTTATTCAGAATATTACAGACAGAGTGGCTGTTGTTATCTAATGTGTTATTCAGAATATTACAGACAGAGTGGCTGTTGTTATCTAATGTGTTATTCAGAATATTACAGACAGAGTGGCTGTTGTTATCTAATGTGTTATTCCGAATATTACAGACAGAGTGGCTGTTGTTATCTAATGTGTTATTCCGAATATTACAGACAGAGTGGCTGTTGTTATCTAATGTGTTATTCCGAATATTACAGACAGAGTGGCTGTTGTTATCTAATGTGTTATTCCGAATATTACAGACAGAGTGGCTGTTGTTATCTAATGTGTTATTCCGAATATTACAGACAGAGTGGCTGTTGTTATCTAATGTGTTATTCCGAATATTACAGACAGAGTGGCTGTTGTTATCTAATGTGTTATTCAGAATATTACAGACAGAGTGGCTGTTGTTATCTAATGTGTTATTCAGAATATTACAGACAGAGTGGCTGTTGTTATCTAATGTGTTATTCCGAATATTACAGACAGAGTGGCTGTTGTTATCTAATGTGTTATTCCGAATATTACAGACAGAGTGGCTGTTGTTATCTAATGTGTTATTCCGAATATTACAGACAGAGTGGCTGTTGTTATCTAATGTGTTATTCAGAATATTACAGACAGAGTGGCTGTTGTTATCTAATGTGTTATTCCGAATATTACAGACAGAGTGGCTGTTGTTATCTAATGTGTTATTCAGAATATTACAGACAGAGTGGCTGTTGTTATCTAATGTGTTATTCAGAATATTACAGACAGAGTGGCTGTTGTTATCTAATGTGTTATTCCGAATATTACAGACAGAGTGGCTGTTGTTATCTAATGTGTTATTCCGAATATTACAGACAGAGTGGCTGTTGTTATCTAATGTGTTATTCAGAATATTACAGACAGAGTGGCTGTTGTTATCTAATGTGTTATTCCGAATATTACAGACAGAGTGGCTGTTGTTATCTAATGTGTTATTCAGAATATTACAGACAGAGTGGCTGTTGTTATCTAATGTGTTATTCAGAATATTACAGACAGAGTGGCTGTTGTTATCTAATGTGTTATTCAGAATATTACAGACAGAGTGGCTGTTGTTATCTAATGTGTTATTCCGAATATTACAGACAGAGTGGCTGTTGTTATCTAATGTGTTATTCAGAATATTACAGACAGAGTGGCTGTTGTTATCTAATGTGTTATTCAGAATATTACAGACAGAGTGGCTGTTGTTATCTAATGTGTTATTCAGAATATTACAGACAGAGTGGCTGTTGTTATCTAATGTGTTATTCAGAATATTACAGACAGAGTGGCTGTTGTTATCTAATGTGTTATTCAGAATATTACAGACAGAGTGGCTGTTGTTATCTAATGTGTTATTCAGAATATTACAGACAGAGTGGCTGTTGTTATCTAATGTGTTATTCAGAATATTACAGACAGAGTGGCTGTTGTTATCTAATGTGTTATTCCGAATATTACAGACAGAGTGGCTGTTGTTATCTAATGTGTTATTCCGAATATTACAGACAGAGTGGCTGTTGTTATCTAATGTGTTATTCAGAATATTACAGACAGAGTGGCTGTTGTTATCTAATGTGTTATTCAGAATATTACAGACAGAGTGGCTGTTGTTATCTAATGTGTTATTCAGAATATACAGACAGAGTGGCTGTTGTTATCTAATGTGTTATTCAGAATATTACAGACAGAGTGGCTGTTGTTATCTAATGTGTTATTCCGAATATTACAGACAGTAGTGGCTGTTGTTATCTAATGTGTTATTCAGAATATTACAGACAGAGTGGCTGTTGTTATCTAATGTGTTATTCAGAATATTACAGACAGAGTGGCTGTTGTTATCTAATGTGTTATTCAGAATATTACAGACAGAGTGGCTGTTGTTATCTAATGTGTTATTCAGAATATTACAGACAGAGTGGCTGTTGTTATCTAATGTGTTATTCAGAATATTACAGACAGAGTGGCTGTTGTTATCTAATGTGTTATTCAGAATATTACAGACAGAGTGGCTGTTGTTATCTAATGTGTTATTCAGAATATTACAGACAGAGTGGCTGTTGTTATCTAATGTGTTATTCCGAATATTACAGACAGAGTGGCTGTTGTTATCTAATGTGTTATTCCGAATATTACAGACAGAGTGGCTGTTGTTATCTAATGTGTTATTCAGAATATTACAGACAGAGTGGCTGTTGTTATCTAATGTGTTATTCAGAATATTACAGACAGAGTGGCTGTTGTTATCTAATGTGTGTATGCTTGTGTCTGTCTGAGCCGGGAGACGGGTCATGTCTACATGGAATCCAGCTTTTGTCAAATTTATGTCAAAAGTGTTAGTTTTTTTTTGTTTACCTTAACCATTATTCTAACCTGCCATGTTAATTCTCCTAACCAGCTGCATAAATTCTCCTAACACCTAGATCACACCGACTGTAATCTCGCGCAAAAATGGTAGGCAGCATCATCTCGATATGTGTGCAACAAAAGTTCAACATTCACCTTCTGCTACCATTTCTGTCAAGCTGTATCGCATACATTTTTAAGCATATGCCCGATAAATCCAACGTATGCACCACACAGAACGCACTGCAACAGCGACGCAATGCTGAAAGGCAAACGCAGCGTTCCATAGGAAATGATTGTCCTTCTGGTGTACCAAAATGTAAAACACTGTCGGTGTGATCGAGGCGTAACCTGCTACAAAAACTCAATTCTGACAAAAGCTGGATCCATTCTAGCCCTGAGCCAGGAGGCGGGGTTCTAGTGTTTCTAGGTTCTCTGTCTATTATTTTCTGACCCAC